TTTCTATAAATTCTCACTTACACAATTACAGAATAAAAACTTATCATTTATCATTATATTATAATATGTATTCTTACAAAAAATATTATTAATCTATTCACATATTTCTTATTATCAATCTTAACAATTAATATTCTATTATTTGATCTCACTTCTTCTGAAAACAACATTTTTCATTTTTTTTCATCTCACTTTTTTTGACAAGACAAATAGTAATAGTTAACGATTGAAAATATGTGGGTGAGCGAACTATAAATGTAATAATAAATTATATCGTAATGATCGATTTTATAATCAGAATTTATGTGTAGAATTAATTAGATTAGTAAAAAAATGTTACTTTACAAAAAATAGTGAGATGAAAATGAGTTTTTCTCACATATTCAATAGCCTTGCAAACATAACACTTGGCATCACTTTTCGAAATATATGTTGACTGAAACTAATAACCCGTGGAATACGTCAACTAGGTTTGGGTTGGTCTGCTTGTCCCTGTCCATGCAGAGACCCATCAACTAGCTGAATTTACAATAATACCCTTTCCTACATTTCTATATAAATGGGATGAAATCAACACGGGAGACTTGAGTCAACACAGCACAAACACTGTAATTTGCTTAACAGCAAGATTTCATGGCTAACACCAAAAGTCAATTCAATTTTGCCTTAATTTGGGGACTGCTCGTCCTGGTCACCATGGATTCCACAGGTTTGTTTTACACTCTTTCATATACATCCCCCTTTATATAATTCATAAGGTGCTGAGTCTATGTGGCAGGCTCGCATGCTTCGGAATCCTATGTGAAAAAATTATATGCTTCGTTATTAGGCTTGGATAGATTTAATTTACTTCTAATTCAAAAACATTTATGTTCGGATTATCTATAAATATGTTGATTATTTATAGTAGGGGTGGGCGCGGTCCGGAACGATCCTGAATTTAACTTGTCCGGATACCGATCCCACTTTTATGAATCGGTCCATAAATGATCCAGGATGAGGCACCGTCCTTACCCATGTAATACATGGGTGTTGTACTAGTTTTTATTTAAAATAGAAAAAAATAAAAAATAAAAGTTCCCGTAGTGAGAGATATATACTCGCCTTGTATGATAAAACGAGTTGAGTTCAATCATAAGATTTTCTGTTGGAATATAACAATTTTTTTGTGGTGTGAGTCTAAGGAGCTTGCGCTCGACTCGACTCATTTACATCAGTACTAATTTAAAATAATACTTTTATATGTTCACATCGACAGCGGCTCAGACAGGCGTCTGCTACGGAATGCGTGGGAACAACTTGCCCTTGCCCGATCAAGTCGTCGATCTATGCAAGCAACACAACATTCGTCGTATACGGCTCTACGACCCGTACCCACCCGCCCTCGACGCCCTCAGTGGCTCCGGAATCCAACTCACACTGGACGTCCCGAACGTCGATCTCCCGCGCGTGGCTGCATCCCAACCCGCCGCGGACTCGTGGGTCCGCGACAACGTGGCCAAGTACCCGGGCATCGAATTCCGGTACCTAACTGTCGGCAACGAGGTTAGCCCCTTGAGGCACTCGGAATTCGCGCCGTTCGTCCTCCCGGCCATGCAAAACATCCTCAACGCCGTCAAATCTTTCGGGCTCGACTCGAAAATCCGAGTGTCGACCGCCATCGAGGCGCAAGTCCTCGCCAACCCTTTCCCTCCGACCGACGCGGAATTCAAGCCGGAGGTCGCCTCGTTTATCGAACCCGTCGTGAAATTCCTCGTCGAGAACGGTGGCCCGTTTCTCGCGAACCTGTACCCGTACTTCGCGTACGCTTCGGACAAAAATATCCCGCTCGACTACGCGCTTTTCGAGTCGAGCGAAGGGGTGGTCGCGGGCGGGGTGAGGTACCCGAGCCTATTCGCCGCCTCGTTGGACGCGTTCTACGCGGCGCTCGGGAAGAGCGGAGGCTCGTCTCTCGAGATAGTCGTGACCGAGACGGGTTGGCCGTCGGGAGGCGGAGATGAGGCGACGAGCGTCGAGAATGCCGGGACTTATAATAGAAATTTGGTGCGGCGTGTCGGGGAAGGGACGCCGAGCCGGCCCGGACGGACGATCGAAGCGTATATTTTTGCTTTGTTCGACGAGAATGAGAAGGATCCGCCGGAAACCGAGAAGCATTTCGGGATCTTCACGGCACCGGAAATTCAACTCAAGTACGAGATCGAGTTTTGAACTCTGGATTTGCTACTCTATGAGGCATTGGTCCATATATATACAGAGGCCTTAGCTTCTATCTAAATAAGGTTGTTCTGTTTTAGTTTGTACTGTAATGTTTTTAACGTGATTGCTGAATTTAAATAATGAATTTGAGTTGATAAGTAGTTATGGGAAATAAAATGCCTATTAATTGGATTTTTATTAGACATAATTAAGAGTACTAGTTTTATCCCGTGTATTTGCACGAAAAACGATATAATAGAAGAAAAAATAATTAAAAATATAGATTAAAATAAAAATCATAACTTAATAAATGAGAAAAGAAATAATTTAAAAAACTGAATCTAAATATTATTAAACACCTCTTTATATACAACAATCGCGGTTTTCTTATCGTCAGAATTCTTATTACAACAAATCATTATCGTTAAACCCCTTCGACTCGTGACTATGTGATTTGATTTTTCAAATATCTTTGTAATATTTAAAAAAATATTTTTTTATTATTGTATGACTGTAATAGAAAATAGAGATATCTGTAGTCATTCTTAATTAATTGTGAAATATGCATTTTTATAATACCAAAAAATATATAGTATCAAATAAAAACAAAACCATTTTGTATTTCAGGACATAAAAATATGTTTTAGAAATTAGCATCATCTAAAATGGAACCTATCCAAATAAATTGTGTAATCGAAATTTATATATATATATTATTAAATGGTAGATATATTTTTATTAGATGAACACCTATTTTTATTAAATGAACTCATATTATTATTAATTGCTGGTTGAATAAAATTTATTGAAATTTGCCAGCAATTATATATATATATATATATATATATATATATATATATATATGGATTTTGATTGGGACACGAATGATTTCATCAAAATGTTGTTGGAAGTGATTTTGATTTTGTTTGAATTAAATTGAAAACTGAGCATGGTTGAACTGGGTAGTGATTAAACTGAAATAATATTTAATTATTTTGCCAATTACTCTAGCAATTTTCAAAATTCAAAGCAACAAGGCTGAGCACGGGACTTCGAGATTACCGGACCGTTCCGAACACCTAATCGAATTCACCCCGAACCGAAAAATATGTTGACCGTTTGACTTTATCCGAACCGAACCATACCGAAAAAATATTTGGTACGGTTCTGGAGATTCATAAAATATACGAACCGAGAATCAAACCGAACTGCACCGAAAAAAACCATACCGAACCGAGAACCGATTTTAATTCATAAAATTCATAATATTTCATCTTATGCTTTCTTTTCATCTTTGTACGTATTTGTATTTAAAATTGAATTGCAAATAAAATCCATATACGTTAGGTCTATGTTCATAAACTATCGCATATTATATTTAATATTGAATTGCAAAAATCCTCCACTATTGAATGTTAATATAATTAAATGATTGAAAAAATAGTTATTTTATTTCTTACTGCATGAGGCATTAGTTTGAAAAGAAATTATATTAATATACTTTTTCTATCACAAATATTGGTAACCAACATGTCAAACTTTATTAACAACATCATTAATTATAAACCAAATTCAAGTTTAGAATGTTTGGAAACCGGCATCTATGAAGAAATCTTTCACAAAATTTGGAGAGAAATATTTATTTAAAGATGATATATTTTCAAATAAAAATAAATTGATAAATATTTTTACCATAATATCTATCAGTGTAATAATAATAATACGATATGTCGAAACCCACTGCTCGAAGACGGCAAAGTTTCAATGCATTTTGGTTTTACAAATGTGTTGATGAATAATTCACAACTATATTTAAAATGTCGTATGGAATTGTGGTTTGTGAATTAAGATTTGAATTTGAATTATGGGATGCGAACTATTGGATAATGTATGTCTTAGTAATACACTATTTTCCTTTTTTAAAAATATTATTTAAAATCTTTAGAATAGGATGAAATATTTTTGATGAATGTTGGATAATAGAATTTCTATGAAAATTTGACAGCGAGTGATGAAAATTTGTGTATTGTTTGTATTAGTTTTGCTATGAAGTCAACGGTTAGTTCCATAGTGGAGTCAACTTTCTATATACAACAAGTAAACCATGGTATGATTTACTTGTTGTATATCGAAAGTTTGGTTGGCTTTATAGCAAAATTTGTTGTAATAACGAATGTCCCATACGTATTTAACACAAAAAAAGTTAGAAATGTGTACANNAAAAGGTTAGAAATGTTTTGAAATTTGGTAACTTGCTTTTCTAGCCAGTTGAGCCACATACTTCTAGTAATGTAATATAATCCGCTTAAAAGGATCAAAGTCAAACACGCTCAAGTTAAATTTGGTACATCCAATTAAGAGAATCAATTTTAAACATTCGATAAATGCGTCACATAATTATTTCGTGCTAAAACAAGTCATTAGTTTGTTGGTTTTGCTTAAGTGAGAGAAAACGACCGACATGAAGATGACGGCCACAAATAGCGGGATTATATTATATACATAATAGTTTTTTTTTTTTATTTCATCAATAGTAGTGTTAATAGTAATATGTGAGGAAATTATTTTTAACTAAATTTTTGGAAGTTAAAAAAAAAAATTAAGCTCTACTCATCTACGTTTTACCAGAGATCCGACATAAGATCTTTTTAAACATTGCTTTTATACAAAAAAAATTCGTAAAATTTTAAAAGATATATTCAAATAATAAATTTGACATCTCAATAATGGAAATCTAGCATTGAAGTTACAGCTCACTAATATCACACGAATTGGTTATTTTTTATTTATTAGTCCAAAGTGTAAAAAAAAGTCCTGGTGAGATAATAATGCAAGAATTTATTTTTTAGAAATTTAATATCATTATCCGAACGAGGTGTGATCAAAACTGCAACTGTTTATAGTTTTTATATTTTCCTTTATTTAGAATTAGGAAAAGAATATGTATATATACCATATATGGCTAGGAGAGCGGCTGTTCTCCTAATTAATGTTGACTTCATAATAAATAACACTGAAATTCCTGATTGAAGATTTCCCTAGCGTACTCTAGCTTTTTGCCGGTCTAATATTTAATATTTAAAATTATATATAAATTAGATATCATATTTTATAATTTTATTATTAATAAAAATGAACGATTTTAATATAAAATATTTAACTTGGACATAAGTCTTTATATTAATCACAATAATGTAAATTTTTGTAATCTATATATATATAATTGCTAGCTAATCCCATTTAATAAAACATTTAATAAAAATATTTTCACTTTCCCTCCAAAAGGAGTTACACCTTTTTTAATTAATTACTCATTAATCTCACATTTAAGAAGATTTTTATAGTTAAATTTAATTAGTTAATGACTAAATTAAAAAGATTTATTTTAATTAATCCCACATTTATGTTAAGTACAGTATTTTCTTAATATCTTATCAGTTTTTCAAAAAAAAATAGTAACTTTTTTCAATAAATTTTATAAAAATTAGTCAAATGTGCTTATATTCATATAAATCAGAAAAAAAAAATTAAATCTTAGATATATAAAAAGAACATCGTTGAAATAACTTGAATCCGCAAGGGTAATTCTATACTCATTATCAATTACTTTAAATTTTTTGTTTATATAAAAAATTAATATTATATTTACTCATTTATATTTAGATGGTATTTTTTTATTAAGAAGCAAGGACAATCTCTATCAATCAATAAGAGTCGAGACAAACAATATAAAGAAGTGTTTTCTATGCTATGACATGATCAATAAGAGTCAAAGACAGTCTCTGTCGCACGTCGGCTTACTACTGAAGAGCTCTACATTTAGTCATGAGCAATTATACGTGGCGCTTTTTAAAGTTACGAGTCAGTAGGGTTTGAAGATTTTGATTTGAGCTGAGGGAGATTTTGACGATAGAAAAACCACGACGTTATTTTATAAAGAAGTGTTTAAGAATATTTATATTTTTTTCTTAATTTTTTCAATGAATTTGTTATGATTTTTACTATTGTTTATAATTTTTATTATTTTTCATGTATCATATAGTTTTCCGTGCAAATGCACGGGATAAAAACTAGTATATATAATTGCTAGCTAATCCCATTTAATAAAACATTTAATAAAAATATTTTTACTTTCCCTCTAAAAGAAGTTACATTTTTTTTAATTAATTAGTCATTAATCTCACATTTATGAAGGTTTTTTATAGTTAAATTTAATTAGTTAATGACTAAATTAAAAAGATTTATTTTATTTAATCCCACATTTATGTTAAGTACAGTATTATCTTAATATCTTATCAGTTTTTCAAAAAAATAGTAACTTTTTTCAATAAATTTTATAAAAATTAGTCAAATGTGCTTATATTCATATAAATCAGAAAAGAAATTAAATCTTAGATATATAAAAAGAACATCGTTGAAATAACTTGAATCCGCAAGGGCAATTTCATACTCATTATCAATTACTTTAAATTTTTTGTTTATATAAAAAATTAATATTATATTTACTCATTTATATTTAGATGGTAATTTTTTTATTAAGAAGCAAGGACAATCTCTATCAATCAATAAGAGTCGAGGACAAACAATATAAAGAAGTGTTTCCTATGCTATGACATGATCAATAAGAGTCAAAGGCAGTCTCTGTCGCACGTCGGCTTACTATACTGAAGAGCTCTGCATTTGGTTATGAGCAATTATACGTGGCGCTTTTTAGAGTTACGAGTCAGTGGAGTTTGAAGATTTTGATTTGAGCTGAGGGAGATTTTGACGATAGAAAAACCACGACGTTGTTTTATAAAGAAGTGTTTAAGAATATTTATATTTTTTTTCTTTATTTTTTTCAATGAATTTGTTATGATTTTTACTATTGTTTATAATTTTTATTATTTTTTCATGTATCATATAGTTTTCCGTGTAAATGCACGGGACAAAAACTAGTCTTGGTTTGATTATGACTAATGGATTAGATAAAATAATATTAAAATTATTACTGTAGTAAATGTACTAGGAAATTTAAGGGGTTTATGTCATAAAAAATAAGCAAATAATTTTAATAAAAATAACTTGCATAAGAAGCTGAAAAAATAATAATTTTAAATAAATAGTTTTAAAAAATAGAATAGAATATCATTAATGTGACCTTATGATTATTTAATTATAGTTATTATGTACCAATGTAAATAAAAATTGTATAAATTAATGCAAAATATAACTGACAATAGCGAGAAAACAAAAACAATTGTCATAAATTTTTGTCAACAATTATATATAGATATATAGATGTGAAATAATCAATTGTTTTAGGATAAAACAGTTTCCCCAACCGCTTATAAAATGCAAACCGGACCTTATTTACATTCATAATGTGCAATTTCATATACATCTTGATCATACAATTATTTGCAAGAGTACATACGTGTATTGTAAATATATATGAAAGGTTGTAAATTCTAAATGTTCATACAATTGAAGTTGCATTTAAAAAAATAATACAAATTACAAAGTAAAAAAACATGTATTATACAGGGAAAATGTTAATATCTGATCCCGCATTCAAAGGCAAGGCTGATCGAGTTTGTGTTACGACATAAATTGAGCAGTTTAGATACAAGTTTGTTAAGATCTGCACTCGATAGACCCGTTTACATCTCTACCGACCCTATACTTGCCTCTATGGGTATGTGGGTTGTGTATCCAACCCGAAAGCAGTATAATTCTCATCATATTATAATAATATTGTTGTTGGGCTTTGTGACCTAATAAACATACTTATAATTAGACATGGCTACAGGTCACCAGATCTGGACCCCGCATGAACCTAGCCTAGTTATGCCCATTGACCACGGGTTTGGGCCTGACCCGGATTTTAACCGAGCCGAATCAGAATCGGCCACTTTGAATATTTTGCCGGGCAGGCCGTTCTAAGCTGGGTCAGGTCGGCTCGAAAATAATCAACGATTTTCAATTTTTTTTTTAAAGATGGATCTCAGATTCAAACTCGGCCCGACCCGTACCTTAAGTAGGGTCGTTTTAGGGTTAGCCATTATGAACCTGGAGACCAGTTGGCCCAGCCTGGGATTTGGCCATGTCCACTTTTGGACTAATAATTTCATATCTCGGACATATAAATCAAATAGTCAGAACAATCCCATGTTCTTTCCAAAATTACTCAATTATCGATAAAAACTGTTCAAAAAAGTGGCAAGATATATCATCAAATATTTGATTTTGTTCATTGTTGAGACTAGAGCATTTCACATTCTTCCACAAAGTTGCCATTCAATATATTTCACAAACAAATCAACGATACATGTATACAAACCAAGGCAAATAATCAATTACATCAATACCAAATAATTATTCAATTTAATCAACCATATATGACACACCTTGAATAAGGATTAAAGATTGAAGATGAATAGATTAAATATAATTCATCTTTACCGGGGGTGGAGCCTCAGCACGGTGGCATATCCTGCGGCGGCGGCATCACACGCTCTGTTGGGCCGCTTCCACTTTCCACGATGAACACCATCTCCATGCCCCACGTCATGTGTCTCTCAAAATGGCAATGCATGAACCACACCCCTAACAACATCAATTATGAACCAAAAAGAAAAAAAATTGTTAAAATTAGTTTAAAACGGGATCAGATCTCGTGTTTCACTTTTCATGTTCCATCTGGTGTTTCAGTTTGTTAATGAATGACACGTGTAAAAATATGACATCATTATTTATTAGTATCGCTCATCCAATTGGCTGAAACATGAATCGAAAAATGAAAGTGGAATAGGAGGTGTCAATTCTATTTCTAAATGAATTGTCAATTAATAGTTTTCCTCATCGTAATGCATGAACCACACCCCTAACAAAAATATAAATCAACTATGAACCAATAAAAAAAAAAATGTTAAAACTAGTTTTTAACCAAATTATTAGATCTTGTGTTTCAGTTCGTCAGTGAATGACACGTGTCATTCATCCAATTGACTGAAACACGAATCGGAACATGAAAGTGGAATAAGAAGTCTCATTCAATTTGAAAAGAAACGTTCATAAATCAACAGTTTTCCTCACCGGGATTATCAGCTTGGAACCTAATCGCGGCCCACCCGTTCCTCGGCACGATTATCGTGTTCCTCTGCTGCGGGTCCATGAGATTATAGTTACTCGGGTCCCGCGCCGCGTCGAAGTTCCCCAACCCCCACCCGACCGCGAAGAACGTGAACCCGTGGAGGTGCATCGGGTGGTCGATCCCCGAGACGAGGCTCGTGCCCTGAAACACCATCTCGATGTTCGTCCCGTACCTCACGAGCCTTGCCTCCGTTCCCCTCCACGGCACCAAGAGCTCAACCGGCTGCACGTCCGCCGTGTAGTTGAACTCGAGTGGTGGGGCCCGCGGGAAACCCGACCCAAACACCCCGGGCACTCGGTAGAAGTACGCCTCGAGCACGTCGACCCGCGGTGCCACGAAGCTGATGTTGTTCATGCTCGCCGCCAGGCGGGTCCCATTGGGCCCTGCGCAGCCGGCTGCGGGCCCGTCGGGCCCACAGGGCCGCGTGTTGACCGAGACGGTCGAGAGGATCCGCTCGCTGATTTCGAGCGGGACCGCGCACGGGTGGTCTTTCGAGTTGAGGCTTCGGATGCTAAACGAGAAGTTTTGGGCGGCGGTCGTGTCGTTGAAATCGGGAAGAGTTGGGAGGCGGCGGGGCCCGTTGGTGGCGGCGCCGGAGTAGCGGACGAGGCCGACTGTGGTGGAATTGTCGAAATTGACCCCGAAACCGGTGACGTAGGGTCGGGCAGCCATGTAATAGCTGCCCGGGGTTTGGTCGGTGAGGAGGAGGCAGTCGAGGGTCTGCCCAGGACTGATGGCGACGTGGGCCCGGGTCAGGGGCTTGGAGTAGCTGCCGTCGGTGCCGACCACGGTGAGGTTGTGGCCGGCGATGCCGTAGAACATGATCTCGTTCATGCCGGCGTTGACCAGCCGGAGAAGGTATGTCTTGTTTGACTTCACTTCCATTGTGAACATGTCTGTTATTTGGGATTAATTGATCACCAATCAAAAAAGAAGCATGGCCATACTATTGCTTGAGACAGTATTAACAAGTTGATGAAATATTGAAATTTTAACATTGGAATTCCATAATTCCATTTAATTAAAAATCATCCTTAAAAATGATCATCTTCAATTCTCTCGGGGATTTTTTTTTTATTTTTTTATTTTATATTAAGAATAAAGTGACTTAAGATTAAAAAAAATGTAGAAATTTAGACTTGATTTTGCGTTTGTGACTGAATATAAGTTAAAATGTAATGAATAAAATTGATTTTATATAAAAATAGTAAAATAATAATTGAAAATAATTGATAATTAAAATATGTGATTAGATAAACAGTATATTTTCTGGGAAATTGTGTGGTATAGAATGATTGGTTTTTATTATTTATTTATATTGATAATATTGAAAAAAATTAAACTGAATTAAATTTGAATTCAATTTTAAGTTAAAAAAAATTGTTTTTCCAATCATAATTCCATCCAAAACTAATTATCCGACAAGAAAAATTGAAAAAAAAAAAATAACGAGCCCAAAATAGTTATATATTATAATTTTAGAATTTTTTATCAAGATAATAATACACACACATACACATAGATAATTTACTTACCATCCTTTGAGCATGGATAAAGATCGCCCGGCCGGCCGTTTATCATGTACGCCGACGAGTTCGCCGGCTCCCCACCGGAGGCGATGAAATCTCCCAATACTTTCATCATATCCTCTTTCCACCACTCCCCTAATTATAGTCAAAATTAAATCACAAATTAACCATATTTTTGGTCAACTTACTTTCTTTTACCACTAGTAAATTGTATTATTAATCGATCGGTTACCTAAAATAATCGGGACTTCTGCATACGGCTTAGTGTACGGGTATGAAGTCTCAGGACTCGGGTAGACTATGATGGCCCCATGCACGGTGGCACGCGACCAGTCGTTGTGCGCGTGCCACCATAAAGTCCCTTCCTCCTTGGAGAATATGACCTTTTGGCTAAATTGGCTGCCCGGTTTAATCGGGCACTGCGTGATGTAAGCGGGCCCATCTGTCCATGGATTTCTCGGTTGTTTCACTCCGTGCCTATAATGTTTTTCTTAACAAATTTTGTATACTTTCGGTTTAGAAGGCTCGAAAAAAAATTATGTGCTAAGTACGTACCAGTGAATGGTGATGTTTTGATTTCCTCTGTTGTAAACATCGACGATTATAGTCTCGCCTTTGTGAACTTTTAGGGTTGGGCCCGGAAATTTTCCGTTTACCGTTAGAATGTTCTTTGTTTCGCACAACTTCGAGTATGAAGCTTCTTTCACCTGAAATTTTTGCAAATTTAAAAATAAAAATAAAAAAATTATAATAGTGGTTATTATTAGTCGAATAAAATGCAATTTTGGTCCACTAACGCTCACCACGAAACGATAACGTCGAATATTATGAGCTTCCAAGCAGAGGGATTTAACAAATATTGTGAAAATCAAAATAAGAAATGTGGATTTGAGTAACATTTTTGCTGGAAAAATTAAATTGAAATAAATATTGGGAATAATTAGATATTTTTCTTGACGCGTATGAGGATGCGTATGATGATATGTCTTATGAAGTGCGTGAGTTGTGAAATTTATAGAGATGCAAAAGGCAGACAAATAATTTGTCAATTTTTAAAGAGAAATAATTAATTGGAAATAAATTGTACGTGTATTTATGCAAATGGTAGTGTGAAAAGCCTTTGCAGCCAATGTGGATATGTCACGCTATGCTTAAATTAAAGCAAAATATGTCTTTAATTATATCACTGTTTCTAAATATACAGGAATAAAAATACATGGTTGTTAGATTTCTATTTTCGTGCTTTTCAAATTAGATAAAAATGTGGTTTGGNTTCCTTCTTTTTTTCTTTTTCTTTTGGTGCTCAAGAGTTGGTGATAATTTCAAATTCATACGTAAAACCAAGGTAAATCATTGATTGTGCTATTGATTGGAACTTTATGAAATTTAGGTATTACGTGCTATATGTATAAATTCATGAAAGTAAGTTATGCCAGTATATTTTTAAATATATTCAACCAGTATATGAATAGTTATTAATTTACTTGTATTGCTGCTTAATTTTTGTTAAGTAGAAATTGTATAAATTTATATAATTGATAAATAGTAGCTTTATTATTTTCTAATAGAATTGATAAACAATTGATAAATAGTGGCTTTATTATTCTCTAATATCAATTAATATGATTAATAGACAAACTTATCTAATTGATAAATAGTGGCTTTATTATTTTCTAATAGGATTGATGAATAATTATTTTTTATTTAGAAAGATAAATATAATTAGAACAAATATCGTATAAAGAAAATTAGTTTGGTATAATATATAAAATAGTAATAAATAAAAAGTTATTAACGTTTAAAATACTAATAAGTTCGTACAGTGTTTTGTAATTTAGTTCTATAATAAAACTTAAGATCTCTGTGAACTATTACAAACCACCAAATAGTGACTTATAAATTACAAAAACATCATAAATTGATATATTGATTTAAGAAGTATCACTTTTAGGCTCGGTAAACCGTATATATCAAGGGGATTTCATATATATTTTTAGTTAGAATGAAAGCTTTATTGACGGGTTAGAAAAAAAGTACTCCACCACGTGGCTGGACGCAGAAGTATGTGGGCTGAACGGAAAGACTGGCGACTGGAATCTTACAGTCTTGGCTGATTGGAGGAGACTTTAATTGCCTTCTTCGGAGGTCCGAGAAAACCGAAGGGGCTTTGAGACATTGTAATATAAGTCAGGATTTTGTGGATTGGATCTTCAACCATAGCCTGCAGGAGGTAGCAATCGATGGACATCTCTTCACCTGGATCCGCGAAACTCGACAGGGGAGGGTGGCCGAAAAACTAGACAGATTCATAGCTAATATACCTTGGGTGGAGAAATTCGATATGAGTCGGGCCTGACTCCTTCCGAGGGTCCAATCGGACCACTCGCCTCTTATGTTGGGACTCGGTCGGACTAGCCCTCCACCACGTGGCCTGAAGCCTTTTCGTTTCTTAGCCGCATGGCTCCTCCATCCTGACTTTAAAGGATTACTAGCAGAGACGTGGCACCCTTCCCTTTGTTTCGAGGAGGCAGCGACAACTTTTATTCAGAAGGCTAAGGAGTGGAATGCCCAGGTCTTTGGCAATATATTTTGAAGGAAGAAAAAGCTACTGGCCCGAATAGACGGTATTCAGCGGAGCCGACAATTTTATTTCAACGGCCGATTGACCGGGCTAGAGAAACAACTCCATGCAGAACTTGAGGAGGTTATTAGGCAAGAGGAACTGCTAATGATACAAAAGGCCACCAGGGACTGGTCCTACTTGGGGGACAGAAATACGTCCTACTACCATAGGCAACTTAAATACCGGAGACGCCGTAGTAAGATAATCGAGTTAACGGATGCTGAGGGGCGCCAGGTCACTGATGACCCGACTCTTCGCACTCTAGCTACGGAGTTCTTCAAAACCATCTATACCGCAGGGCCAACCCCCATGACGGACGGGAATGTGGCCAACCTCTTCCTGGCCCGCGACGACACTACCGCGAATGCCATGACCGCAGCTATTACCGAGGACGAAATTTCTTCATCCCTGAACAATATGGGGCCTTTGAAAGCCCCAGGAATGGACGGGTTGAACGCTCTTTTCTTTCAATAAAATTGGGATATCGTCAGGCCCACGGTTCGTGATTTTCTTAGGCAAATGTGGACCGATGGTGTCGTTCCGGATCAGGTGAATCGAACCCTGCTCGTGCTCATCCCTAAAGTTGAACATCCAACCACTCTCAAGAACTTCCGGCCTATCAGTCTACTAAATGTTATATATAAACTATTCACTAAGGTTTTGGTGAACCGTATGAAGGGCACTCTTCCGGGCTTAGTCCATCCAGCCCAAGCCAGCTTTGTCCCGGGCCGACACATCACGGATAACATCATTGTTGTCCAAGAGCTCATCCACACTATGCGGGGAAAACGTGGGCCGAAAGAATACATGGTCATTAAGGTTGACTTAGAAAAGGCATATGACTATCTTCGGTGGGAGTTTATCGAAGAAACCATGAGGCTGGCCGGGTATCCTGACAAATTCGTTACGGCAGTCATGGCTTGTGTTCGCTCGGCCTCGATGAATGTGTTATGGAATGGGACGATTGGGGAGGAATTTAGGCCCACAAGAGGAGTCAGGCAGGGGGACCCGATGTCTCCTTATCTCTTTGTCCTTTGCATGGAAAGATTAGCGCAAAGGATCGAAGAGTCGGTTGAGCATTCCGACTGGCACCCACTTTCAGTGGGCAGAGGAGCTGTCAAAGTCCCTTTTTTGATGTTCGTAGACGATTTACTTCTCTTCTTGGAGGCTTCAGACGGGCAGGCTATAGTTCTGAAGCAGGTCCTGGATAGCTTCTATGCCAGATCGGGATTGAAGGTGAGTGCGGAGAAGACCTAGGTTTTCTTCTCTAATAACGTGGAACACCAGGAGCAGATTCGTCTGGCGACAGTGTTAAATTTCAAATGGACAGATAACTTGGGAAAATATCTAGGAGTGCCAATTATTCATTGGCGCGTGTCCAGAGAAACGTACAGTCATATTTTGGAGAAGACAGAGACGTGACTAGCGGGATGGCGAATGAAAACGTTGTCTCTGGCCGGCCGGGTGACCCTCACGCAGTCAGTGTTGAATACACTACCTTACTATACTATGCAGACTGCGATGTTACTGTGTGCTGTGAGTGACGGGCTTGAAAAGCGGAGTCGTGCATTCGTGTGGGGAGGGACTAATGAACGGAAGAAGGTACATTTGGTTACCTGGAAGGACGTATGTAAACCGAAAGATGAGGGGGGCCTGGGTGTGAAAGATCTTCGGCGTATGAACCACGCTCTACTCATGAAACTAGGGTGAGGGCTATTGACAAAACCAGATGACCTTTAGGTACGCGTTCTGAAGGAAAAATATGCCTTAAATTTTCAGAAAATTTGAATTCATTTCGGGTGCGGCAGGGCTCGGTATTAATCCGAGCAATCCGGAGGGTTTGGCCCCGAGTAGCGAGCGGGGTGCGGTGGGTCTTGGGGAACGGCTAAGGGCTCGCTTCTGGCTTGACAAGTGGCTAGGCACGGACGGGCCACTGCTGAGGTATGTTCGTAACCAAGAACTGATAGTTAATGTGTCCTCGCTGGTAGCCGACCATGTGGACGTTAATGCCAACTAGAAGTGGGAAGATTTCCATGGCATTCTACCTTCATCCGTCATTCTCCACATAGCAGCCAGCCTCCCCCCGCAAGCAACGGCAGACGACGATCGGATTATATGGGGCCTATCTGATGATGGTCGCTTTTCCACGCGAACCGCTTATCAGGCTGCCTCGCCGGCAGCGAGAGATGAAGACCGCCCGTTATGGAGGCTAATATGGCGTGCTCCGGCACCGCAAAAGGCTCGGACATTCTTGTGGCTTGCCGCAAACGACCGGCTTCTCACCAACGCCGAGCGAGTACGGCGTCATATCTCGGTTTCTGGGACGTGCGAATCATGCGGCAATGACGAGTCGACTCTCCACGTCTTGAGGGATTGTCCTGCTGTCAAACCCGTATGGAAAATAATGCTACTGACCGGACCCGACAGCGACTTTTTTCAACAGCCCCTCAAAGCCTGGCTTAGCTCGAATCTTCGGAAGACACGGATGGGAGTGAGGGATAGATGGAATAGTTTATTTGTGGTTGCGGTTTGGAGAATGTGGACGTGGCGGAATGAACGGAGCAAAAATCCCTGAGTTGTGTGGCTCGGAGAGCGAAAATCGAGAGCATATTGGAAAACTATACACGAGCCGAGGCGGCCTACATGAAGGTCGGGGCTGTCACATATGTCACCCGCATGATTCGGTGGTCTCCGCCTGAGTCGGGTTGGATTAAAGTGAACACAGACGATGCATATGACAACCAAACGGGTTTAAGTAGTACGGGCGGGCTAATTCGAGATAAGATGGGACTGTGGATCGAGGGCTTTCTCGTGAATATTGGATCTTGTACCATTACGGGAGCCGAGCTTTGGGGTCTCTTTCACGGGCTACTATTGGCGTGGGATTTGGGTTTCCGGAGAGTTGTTGCGGAAATTGATAGCCAATGCGTTTTACAAATGGTGTGTAGCTCGGAAGACGGTTTTGGTGCTCATGAAGCGATGGTTAAGGCCATACGCGGGGTATTACAAAGGGGATGGGAAGTTAGGATTCAATATGTCTATAGAGAAGCGAATTTCGCGGCGGACCATATGGCGAGCTTGGCGGCTTCCTATCCGACTGGACTGCATCGAGTCTCCTCGTCTCCTTCAGGACTAGGTGCTTGGCTTGAGCATGACAATATTGGGGTGTCTTACCCCCGACAAGTGCTAGCTTAGGTCGTCGACCTCCTTCTTTGTACCAAAAAAAAAAAGTACTCCTTTTGTGTATGGATAATTTTTTTTTTTCACGTCATCAAATGTTGAAAAGATCTCTAATTAAGTCAATTTCCTCACACTTTGCCTTCGTATAAAATAAGTCACAATTTCCTCACAATTTGCCTTCGTATAAAATGCTACATTAGAGATGTCAACCACAACCTTTTTAATAAAAAAAGTAAAAGTTACTATTTAATGATTCTCTTATGGAGACATCCATAACTTTTTATGTACTGACACATGTCCAATGTATATTTATTGCAAAACAAATATCAATACGCCATTTGTGAATAACTATGGATGATTCCATAAATTGAGTCATCCGATAGCTCCATAGCAAAACTGTTGATTTCAATTTATATTGACTGAATTAGAATTTATTAGTTTTAGTTGAAGTAATTCGAAATAGTGCTTCTCATATATACGAACAATTGTAAATACAACGCATCTTACTGGGGCCTTTTCTTATATTTAATTAGACCGAGTGAATTTAGCTTTTATATTTACATAATTATAAGTACAGATAATTTCGAATTTATTAACCCGAAAAAATAAAATAATTAAATCTATTGGCGAATCGTTATCAATCATGTATATTTCTTCTTTCAGTATTGCTTTTCCATAATGTTACTTGAGATTGATAAGCACAAAGCTGATTAATAAATCTCCACCTACTTTTTTGACAACTAGTACATAGCCCGTGCAATGCACGGGACATAAGTATTAAATGAGTCATTTCCACAGAGCTTGTTCGTTAAGTAGTTCTTGCGATTCACGTGAGATATTAAATGAGTGGACGATAGGGTTTGTCCGTTCAACCCTACAAAATAATAGAGTTTGATTATCTATCTTTTTACATCTTTTCATCAAAGTCATTTTTTTTGTCGGAACATTAAACCTGAGTCTGATAGCGCAAGACCGTAAATTAATTAATATATTATCTAGCTCACATGTTTATAATAATATAAATTTTATTTCATTATATATATATTTATTCCTTGATATAAGAAAAATAACGATTTTACGTAATCTTATTCCTCGTATAATACTCATATTATTTTATTATAAAATTTATTATAATATAATTTCATTATTATTATTTATGCAAGTTATAGATGTAGTCTTGTTCTTCTTTTTGTTTTATATAATTAAAATATTTAATGTATGTTCATATTATTTATTAATGCAATTAATTTAAATTATGTAAATAAATTTAAAGTAAAACATTTTGTACAAACATTTTACAAAATATACACAAATATTTTTAAATTTTTTTTTTATAATAAATAAACATCTTTGAAATTCTATGCAATTATTAAACATCCTTGATATAAATTCGAAATCATAATTGAATTCTATGCAATTATTAATTCTGTCCGATGTTATGAGAAACAAATCATTCGGAAATGATTATATGTAAGTTGAGATAAAATGAAATGTATCAAAAAAAATGTGCTTATGATATTTTCCTTTAAATGTTTGAATGAATTTGAAATTCAAATTACAAATCAACCTTCAGTTATTCAAATAATTTATAAAAATTATCAATTGTAGTAAAATGTATGTGACAATATATTATAAATATACATGACGTCAGTAATGTTATGAATCTTTAAGTTCATAAAATATATATTGTTTAGATATGAAACTAATTAACTTATATGTTAAGAAAATATATATAAACATATGTATTGTACGAAATATACACGTGACAAGTTATTATATTTGTTTATATATTGTTTGTATTGTTTATTATATTTGTATATAAATATATTGTTTATATATTTGTCTGTATTGTACGACAAATTATTATATTTGTTTATATATTGTTTAAATATATATTGTTTAGATATGATACTAATTAACCTATATGTTAAGATAATATATATAAATATATGTATTGTATGAAATCTTTAATGTGTTGTTAAATTTTTCTCCTAAAAAATTCAAAATACATTTAGGCATGTTTTGTTTGAAGTTTGAAATTTCAATATGCATCTATATAACAATCCCATGATTTATGCTAGCATTAAATGCTACTTGATTTTTTATTAAAAAAATTAAAAAAAAAACATACCAAAAATGGAATGCAATTAATATTCTCTATTTTTTTGCTTACTATTTTTGAAAAATGTTAATTCTTATTATATAGATATAGATGATAATATTCTGCATAAGGAAAATTGTAATCATATTCCATTAATCTTTTGTCAATTACAATTTCGTATAATAAAATTTCAGAAATTATCAATTTATTATAGAGAATTCATCAAAAACTTTAAAATACCTAAAAGTTGATGTTAAACTAGTTATTATAATTCTTTGAGCTGGTTCTTTGGTGTTCGTTGGCACCTCGGGTGTACTCTATTTCGAGTTTTCAGTTTTTAATATAATTATCGTTTGACAAAAAAAAACTAGCTAATCACTAGTAAACCATAATTTTCTAACAAATAAATACTTACACTATCAAATATTAAAATCAGTGTTTTAAATGTCATACTTGTAATCATACTGAACCAGTCATCAATATGCGGTTCAATCAATTTCAACCAGTTTTGCCATGTATTTTATCAATTTTAATAAATATAAATTTAAATTATGATTATAATATAAATATTGTATAAAATTAACTTTAATAAATACCAAAATTACTTAAAATTCAATAATAATGTAAACATATTAAATTGAGTGTAAAAATTTAAATTTGTATAAATAAATTAATTAAAATTTATCAAAAGTTATTTTTTTATAATATCTGATATACCCGGTATTTCAACCTATATTTTGACTGGCATTTTCCGGTAAAACTGATATTTTCTAGTATGAAACCATTATTTTGATCAAAATAATATTTAGAGGGTAACGAGACCGGCCGGACCACCGTATCTGATATTACCTGTAATATCCGCCGGTATGGTGTGAAAATTAAAACGTTGATTATAATTATATTTACATTATTTTTTAAGCATAACATTTTAGTATAAAGTATAAATCTATTGAAAAAATATGAACGTCTAACGATTAGGCAGGCTAACAACACTACCGATGATATTAAAATTATTGTTACAAACTCAAATGTCACATATTGCTATTAGGAGTGATATTCGAGCAGAGGAGACCCCAAGCACTTCGTGTTCGAGCTGGTGCTTGTTTAATAAATTTGTGTTGACAAACAAGCTCGACTCAATTGTTCATTCGAACCTATAAAAAATAAAATAATAATAATAATAATAATAATAATAATAATAATAATAATAATAATAATAATATCTTGTTTTGCAAGCTCCACTAACTCTAGCCGTTTAATGAACGAGCCCAATTAATTGTTGAAACTTAACTCTTTCGAGATTTCACGACAGGAACAAAGGTATATTCTCAAATAACTCGAATAATAATTCAAATTGCAAACCTACTCCAAATGTTTCACTTTCTATTTCGAATATAATCGTGTATTAATTGATTTTGTCGTTCTTTTGTAACTTGGTGCTGATTTTCGGTCAAATTAAATTTGGCACACACAAATATGTTGTGATGTCAAATCTTTTACTTGCAAGGAGTCGTCGTATATAGAATATATAGGCAAACAAAAGATGTGATAATTAGTTTGTGGCCCTAATCTCCACAAGTCGGTCATAAAATAATTAAGCAAATTAACTATGCCTTTTTGTTTGTACATTCTTTGCTGCACGCTTTTTATCACTAAAAAAATACGTGTTGTCAAACACTATGCCTTACCCATGAGCTACCAAGAAAATTATGCATACATAATTAAATTTAGTTCATGATACTTGAATTTAAACAATAATAATAAAATAAAATATCAATAATTTGATTACAGAGAACGATAGAAAAAAAATTAAGATTTGAAGATAATATGAAATTCTAACAAATTAAGTTAGGTCATATGCATGATTGGTTGGTTCTTCCAATCATTTTTATAAATTTAAGCAGGTCATCCCGCGATTTAAGTCAACCAGTGATTCGAATCTGTCAAAAGACGAGTCGATATCAACAAAAAGAACTTTAAATTGGGTGGTCCGTGCCCAAATTAATGGAATCGTTCAAACCCATCAAGTTCTCGTCTAACCTGCTAATTGAAAACTCGAATTTGGGATTATAAGTTGGATTCGGACTAGGCTAGGTCATATATGGATAAAAACGGTAGGTCCAACGACAGATTTTCTGCTCTAGGCCATTGCTCCTGTGATCTCTGCAAAATCAACGTCCGAAAACCGACGGACCCACTGAGCCAACGATTAACACATTTTAATCAGTAAATATATTTTTATCCCAACTCATAACACATTTTAATTAATAAATATCTTTTTATCCCAACTCATCTTTCATGTAATTTTTCATCTCTCTCTCCTCTTCTTTTTTTATAATCAAAATGTAAGTAATTTCTATGTGATCCTTAGCTCCTCTAATGTCTAGCATTTTTTATTTTTATTTTTTTTAATTTTTGTATTTTTACACTTATAAATATCCTTTCTCCAATCATTTTTTTCACATCAATGATAAATCCCCCACTCATTTGTCTTCTCATATCTATTTCTCCTATTTGAAGGTTTGCAAGGGACAAACTTTTCAGTTTTCATATTTCAAATATATAAAATCATTGGTTGAGAAGTTGATCTCCTGCAGATCTTAAATTATTAAGAGAATAATAAGAACGGCAATGAACTCAAAGTCGAATACAACGAAGAGAGCCGTGAGCCATGTTCACAATTTAAATACTAATTCGGTTTTCTCCTTAGAGTAAGAATAATATTAACTTTGCAATTTTTTTATACAATATGTAAAAAAATGTAAATTTAAAATATTTAATTAATTTGTTTAAAAAACAATTTTTCGACAGTGAATCCCAAAAAGTTTGATCGGAAAATGTTTAATAATAATTTAGAAAAAAAATTGAAGTGTGATTTATGTAAACTAAAAATATAATAATTAAAATTCATTTACAATACAAATAATAAACTAATAAATAATAATTATAAAATAGATAAGTGAATGAACATTATATTTTATATAAATAAACCAGTACAAGTAATTATTAGTTTTCCAATTTAAATTAATAAAATCGCGAAAAAAAAAATATATGATTCAAATATTGTAGCCCAGGTTATTAGGAAATTACTAAAACGTAAAATGTTGAAATTTATCCATCTCCTTCTCCACTCCACATGGTCCAATCAAGATCCGAACTGCAAATCACCCTTTTGAGCTTTTATTAGCTCGATCACAATTCTGATTTTCATGAATTTCGGTTAGTGGGAGCACCTAAGTGCTGTACAGAGAGCTCGGGAAAAAGATGATAGCGGAGGTCTCGGGGTGGAGGCGAAGGAGGCGGCGGTGAGAGAGGTGGCGAAGCTTCTGCCGCTGCCGGAGCTTTTGCAGTCCATCTCCTCAATCAAAGCTGACTACATTGCCCGTCAGCAGGTTCGTCTTTCTTTACTATGATTTAACAGTTCCTTATGATTTCAAAGCTGTTCTCTACATTGCCCGTCGGCAGGTTTATTTCCCTTGTGCCAGGAACTTATTCTGTTTGTGAAATTCGTCATTTGAGCTCGTGTACTTGAAATTATTAAAAGAATAGATGTCTAGAGTCGTGGGATTTCAGGCAAATGTGAAACTTTGAACTGCATGTGATAGGGAAATGAGCTTGTTGTGGAATTTTAATGAGATTGGCAGTTTTGGAAGTATTGCAAGAAGGATATTTCGTATTGATTAAATCATAAATTCTTGTATGAGGCGACCTAACCGTTAAGACGGGTCGATTCGTCACACTTTTATAAAAAGACATGCATACTTATGCTATAAAATGTCGCACATATGATTATAATGTTTTCAGTGTATGTCATTTCAGTGTGAAAGTATGCATATATGGTTTTGCATTTTTGTTTTGTGTTATTTTTTGGAGTATGCCATTTCAGTATGAAAATATGTATATCTATGTGTATCTGTAGAAAAAGTAGTACTATCTAACCATTGACCATTAAACCTAAGCAGTGTTACTGAGGGTTGCTTCTTGATTAGCTAGTTATTTCGTTTTAATACTAGTGACTGGGAATGATCTGAATAAAGATTGGAAGAACTCATTTCGTTTGAAATTTTCAAAAGGCTATTTATCGTCTTTGTGTTAGCAAAAATGCTACCTATGTTCACGATCAAAACAACAGCTGGAAACTACTGATATACTACCAAATATGGCGTTTTTGCTAAAAGAAAGTGGCCAGGTGACATTTTTGCAAACTTCCCATTACATGATATGAAGTCACATGAATTTGAATAATCTGTCATTATATGTCATTAAGATTGTCTGTAAGTTGTATTATCTCTCATTCTGACAAAAAAATTATTTTTATATTGTGCGTTGAACATCTCTTATGTTTTGCTACCAGGCAAATGATGCACAACTCAGTACAATGGTTGCTGAACAGGTAATTATGGATCATTAGTCTGTACACCTCCGTATTTTTAAATAGAGTTACAGTTGGGGTAACTATTAACTTTTTTAAATCTTCAACCTTTCTTAAAGTACATTGTTGTATTGGCTGTAAAACTTTTTTGTTTGTTTAGTCTGTGACCAATTTTCTATTTTCCTTGGTACTACTGGGTTCAGGTTGAACAGGCACAAACTGGCCTCGACTCTCTTTCCTTGTCTCAGAAGACAATAAATGAACTAAGAGAAAATTTTGTGGAGATTGAAAAGTATGAAGATGAGACAGATCTATATCTCCTTTCTATAAAGAATGCATCTCATGTTCTCGTTTATTGGTATTTTAGCTTGATCTGGAATTTTTTCTTCCTGACAGGTTATGCCAAGAATGCCAGACATTGATTGAGAATCATGATCAAATTAAACTCCTCAGTAATGCTAGGAATAACCTGAACACAACTCTGAAGGTGAATGTTCTCACATCACATAATCACTATAAATATGGTATTACCTAAATCTCTTTGTGGTCATGTTGTTGCACTGTAATAATGTGTTTTAGTTGGGTTTTCCCTGTGTAGTTGCTAGACCTTCTGGTTGTACTGGGCTTTTATTCAACAAATTCTATGTGTGCCTATAATTTCATCAATTTACCTTTAACTTTTTTTTTTTTTTTTCTGCAGGATGNGGATGTAGAGGGCATGATGTCGATCTCTGTTGAGGCTGCTGAGGCACGTGATTCCTTGAGTGATGACAAGGAACTTGTAAACACCTATGAGGTCCAGATTATTTGTATGCTTATCTAATATAATCTAATGCCAAAATATCTGCTTCTGAACTTGTATTGTTAATCAATCCTAGAGATTGACTGCATTGGATGGTAAATGACGATTTGCATTAGCAGCTGCTTCATCTTTTGATGAAGAGGTTAGTCGGGTGAGGTCAGAAAGTTGAATTGTATACATCATTGTTAGTTTGTGTAGTAAAATCTGCTCCAACTTTGCATTTCGGCTCTGCAATTGTGTATATCTGTTTAAATAGTATGTCCGACTTGTCATTTGAAGAGGATAGTCGGTAATCTATGTGACAATTTCAGTTTGCAATCTTTGCATGAAACTCTTCACTATTTTAAACTTCAATCAAATAGTGTCGATACTTTGTTGATGACTTGGTTAGTTTATCTTCTCGGAATCAAGTGATAAATGTGTCATTTTCTTTGATGTAATTGTGGTTCTGCTAAGTGCATGAATGCGAATATAACACTTAGCCTATGGAAATATTGGAGTATATGCATTCTCTTGAATACCTATACTTTAGGATTGGATAAAGTTCTTTCTGCCTCTAAAATTAAGCAGTGTTGTTACATCTTTATGATGCGCGAGCTGCCATTTTTCACAGTGAATACTTTGAAGACATAGATCGAACTTTGGAGACATTTCAAAAGACACTTTGGAGTCATATCTCAAATTTCTTTAAACTTGCTAAGGAAAGGTAATCTTGTTCTAGCTTCTAAGGCTTTGCTCTTCCTGGAATGCCCTTTGCCTTTCATTTTCTTTCTTAAACTTTAGTGTTTATAGGTGGTACTTCAGCAACTTCCATTTTCTTGATTTTATAAACTTCAGCTTGCATAACATTCCACATCTGTAAGATACCTAGCTTGTAGTAACTGTTTTAGATGATTTTGTTAATCGAGTGGGTTCATTTTTGTGCCATATAGGAAATCTACAACTTCAATGGCATCTTCCAGAAATCTTACGCAGCAAAAATTGAAGGTTCAAGGTAAAGGCTACAAGGATAAATGTTATGAGGAAATAAGGAAGTCTGTTGAAGCACGGTTCAGCAGATTGCTCAGTGAGGTTTATGCTTTATTCTGCTTCTGCTTGCTCATATTTCTTAATATGATACCAACCTCGTTGAGTTTTTCTCGTTCGTTGACGGGATTTTGTTGGGAAAGTTATTTTGTTTATTTCCTCTTATATTCTTTTGCTGCATTTAAATTTTGTATCCATCAAATACGAAATATTCCAACTCATGGTGAACCTTCATACCGAGAGATTTATTCAGTGGCTGAGACTACTCAGTGACAGGGCTAATGATCTGACTAATATAGAGATACTGAAGGAATTTGATCCTAACTTGCAGTTATTATATCCGTACTGTCAATTATTTCCACCTTCTCTCTACTATCCTATATTTATAGTAAACTAGAGACCGGATGCACGGCATGAAAAACAATGCAAAGTGTATATGTGTAAGCTTATTTAAAATCAGAATTTATTAGATGGGACATTCAAATAGAAAACTGGACTCTTTTGTTTTAATTATAATTGATTTATACTCATAAGGATGGGTTTTCAACATTTCTAGAATATTTTAATTTCCCAAAAGGGATTGATCAAAGTTGTCTCTATTTATTTTATACATATTTAGGCTCCATTTGATCAAAATATTTTTTGAACGGAGAATTTTCTTTATATTTTCTTAAACTCTGCTTCTGTTTTCCTTAACTCGATCCGTTGGCATTGTGGTTGGGTAAATTTGGTTTGTTATTTTATCCTTCTGTTTTTGCCTAAACTAATATCTTGCTCCTTTACAATGTGGCTTTGTAAGCTTGGAGCATTTACGATTATGGTTTTCTGTGCATTATTCATATTCTGCTAATAAAATCGTTATATGGCAGATCAAGAACAATCTTCAGTTTTATGATCTTGCCATGGAACTAAGTTCAAGCACACATGAAGTTCTCCCACAGAATTATGCCGAGCAGGTGAGTAAAAACTCTTTATGTTCTATCTCCTTAAGTCAACTAAAATTGAATCAGAAATTCAAAATCTGCATCTTGCCATTAAAAACTAGTATTCATCTCTTCACTTTAAGCCAGGAAAGTTACGTAAGTCACCTTGATTGCCGTTAAACAGGTCATGTGCTGCTCACGTGACTTTTTTCGATGAAATTATGAATTTCCGACGAGTCAGAGGACCTTTTAGTGAACTTTTTATAAACTTAAGGACGAATTACTATGCAAAGGGAAAAAATTTGTTGCCTTTATGAAACATACATGACGAAAAATGAAATTTTCAATTTTGAATTTGCAATTAGCTCATTTAAATATTTTTCTTTTTTTTTTTTTAAGGTGCANGTGCATCTGTATTATTAAAGTGGCGGGAGATGATTAGTAAGTCAAACAATCAAGTTGGATGAATTTAGAGTTACACTTGTAGATGAGAATTACCATAAATAGAGCTGTTACATGAGGTCATACCAGCATTCAATGAAGACTTGTAGATGTCATAGGCGCACGAATGGTTGGTCATTTTATCTTTAATTTTTTGGAATCTATCTATATATAAAAAGGTTGTTGGTTAAATCATTTTTGGAAATTTTTGACCAAATAAATAATACCTTTGACATTCTATTTATAGAAAGCTTGAAAACAATAATAGTGTAATTTTTTTTTTACTCACAATTTGAATTCAAAATTAATGGTGTAGAGATAATATTGGAACAATAATTTGTGGATAACTCATGATGGAATCTGTGGATAACTAACTACTAATCTAAAAAGATTTTGATAAATCTTCACCAAACACTTATTTGATAAATTTGTGGATAACTAAACTATTAATCTAAAAAGATTTTGAAATGGCTAAGCTTATGTATTAATATCGCAACCCTAGGAAAAAAAAAGCATAAGTGAGCCCATTTATTTTTTTATACTAAAATAAAGAGATATTACCAAATATAATTTTTGTTTAATTTGATGGACAAATATCAAATCATTCCAAATTTTAATAATGTACGCGAATATCATTTCAAATATTTAGATAATATCATTCTAACGCTCCAATCATCTAATATCGAGATATTTTTTTTCACCTATTAAATTAACACTTAATTTGCCTATAAATAACATACACACTCTGAGTTGTTATTGTATCCCCACTCATCAAAAAATCAAGCAAAACATAAAGAACAAATTCTGTATTAATAAGAAATCATGAGACTCATCAAGCAAAACACCATGAAAACTCTACGCAATCCAACTCTTTTAAAGGATAAATGTATCTTTTTCGAACAAAAAGATATTGAAAAATGATTTTTTTTTATGGGTATGAAAGTCGAATTTTAGGTTGATTTGTTATAAAATCAAGGTAATATGTTTCTCAAAATTTAGCATATTTCTATAATAACTTGCCAAAAAATTCTAATGATAATTTGACAAAATGGTATATATTCCTCTTGAAAATTATAAACATCTTTGAACAAATATTGGTTAATAAAATTTAAAAATTAACCGACAACAACTCTAGAAAATTGTGAGATAATATGTATATAAGGGAATTTATATATAAGGGAATATATATATAAGGAAATTTATCGTATAGTTCAAATTTGGGTTTCAAATTTAAAAGTCAAATAAATAATTATTCATAACTTACGTGTCAATATTAACTTAGGCATAAATGAAATAGTCAATTAATTATAGTTTAATAAATTACTCAACAACTTAAATTTTTTTATTTTGATAGTTTATACAAAATTAAATTCATTTTAATTAATGAACACTATAAGTTTTATAATTGTACTTATTATTCACATAGATTTTTAAATATATGATAAAATTTTACCAAAAGAATTATTTTATGGAATCACATTGTAGTCCAATCGAATTTTTGAATAAATATTTTCAAATGACACTTATTTTGAAATAAATATAATGTAATTTATTATCAGTTACGTGCACCAGGTTGTATACTAATTAAATTGACATATTTTATGTAATTTTGCACGATATGAAATTTATATAATATTTTCAATAAATTAATATAGGTAAACGTATTACATATTGATTCAATATTTTTAATTTATAAATATTATCTAATAATCATTTTTAATTTATAAATACTAATGAATATCTCTTACCCGTGCATCGCACGGGATTCGTACTAGTTGGTAATAAAGTAGGTCTTGAGAAAAAAATTGTTCAATAAAAAAAGAACGAAAAAATTATCTCTAATTATAATTTTTATATTATTATTATGTCTTTATGGCAAATCTCGAGCATCAATTAATCTCTCAAATAGTGCAAAGATGAAAAATGCAATTCTAGGACCTCCTTATTTCTTGTGCTTACATACTAGTATGCAGTCCATACATTGTACGGATAAATTATATAAATTAAAGCAATAAAGTAATATTGATTAGTATAAAATAAAATAATTTTGAATATTAATATGAGTTTTTATCTTTTCTTTTATTGTTATGATATATAATAGTGTAATATATGATTTATGTGTTTATTTCACCAGTTATAAAATATTGTCATTTTATATTTTTTTTATAATTAAGGAACATGAGATGTAACATATTCAAAACATTATTAATAGATAACACTAAAAAAAAATACTTCTCTCTTTTGCTCATACCTTATTACAATATATTTTAGACAACTTAATCAATAAAATATTGATATCATATTGCCAAAAATAAAAATAAAAGTCTCAATACGGAGGTAAAAAAAATTACCAAAAAGTAATATAAAAAATATATTTACAAAATATCCTCATTTAGTAAGCAATACCTTTTTTGACTGGAAAATTATACTATTTTAAATAAATACAAACCTTTATATATAACTTTGCGAATTTGTACTTACACATTACTTACAATAGTAATTTTTTAAAAAAAATTAAATCTATATATATATATATATATATATATATATATATNTATATATAATCCGCTAAAAAATCTAAATTACAAAGAGAAAATTCTATATTCGTACTTTTAGATATTTCAGTTTTTGTTTTCTTCTTTTGGAAAAGGAAAAAACTATTTTCTTCCCATAATCTTTATTTATATAAAATGCAGAAATAAAACTAATCATCTATTTTCATAATCTTTATTTTTATTTAAATAATAAAAACAATTAATTGGAGATCTTTGTTGTTATGCACTGGTCAATATATGACATAGATTTGAACTTTTTTTATTAATGTTATAAAATGGTTGTTTATAACAAGTTATAGAAAAAATAGATGAGTTTAAAATGATAAATTAGTGATTTGTTTTACAGTCACTATGCATAATTAACTCGAGAATATAAATTAAAATCATTATAAGATGGATTTTTTAGATTAGAAAATTTATTATATACAAAAAATAATAATGAAGGCGGAGTATTGAAAGATGAGTCGACTATCAATTTGGGCCTAAAAGATAATTTCTATCAATTTGAGATCTGAAAGATATAAAATTATCAATTATTTGCATGAAAGATTAAATTTATCGATCATAGCTCGAAATATTTCAAATTATCAATTTAAGATTTTATATATTTTTATAAAAAATATAAATAAAAAATCACATCATAAATAAAAAATTTAAACGATATGAAAAACATGAGAAAATTTTTTAATGTCATATAAGTTATAATAGATATATAATGTTATAAATAAAAATATTTCAATATAAAAAAATATAAAACTTATAAATTAAAATATAAAATATAAAATATATATATATAATACCTTTTAGATAGTTCAACTTATAATTTTAAATCACTCTGGTCCTAAATTGATAGGTTTTAATATTCAAATCCCGAATCACTTGACTTATCTTTCGAATCTCAAACTAATATAAACTGAAATCTTAAATTAATAGTTTTAGATCATTTCGGTCATTCATAGGAATCTTAAATCTTATTAATGGTTGTTAAATAAAATAAAAGAATAAATTAATATTAGATAATATAAAACTATTTGTTTATGTTAAAGAGTAAAGATCGTGATAATGAAAAGGGAATGGCGGTAACATGAACAATGTCAAAACTGAGTCAACAATAATATAATCTCCAAAATTAAAAATTAGTGTTAACCAGTGAAGGATTCGAATCAACCACCTCCAAGCTAGAGATGTTAAACGGGCTAGCCCTAACGGTTTCGGGCTAGCCTTAGCGGGGTTCGGGCTAAACGATCTGGGCCTAAAAAGTCCGGATTTAAACGGACTACCAAAAAAAGGATCTAACCCTAACCCTAGCGAGCTTCGGGATAAACGGGCTATGCAGGTTATAATAATAATAATAATAATAATAATAATAATAATAATAATATATAAAAAATAAAAATAAAAAGAGTAAAATATAAAAAAAAATAACAGCGGCTAGTTAACAATTGTTTTCAACGATTATTTACTATTTACCGTCTATCATTATGTTTCATGTGTTTCCTATTAGTCCTTCTGATTGACTTAAATATTTTGGTATTTTATACAATAACAAAATTGTTAATAATTATCTTTCAAAATCATAATAATCCATTACAACTCATACTTACATGTGAAGTGAAATAGCAAAATTGTAATATACAAGAAATCTAAGAGCATATTACTTACTTAATGCAAATATTTACACCGCTCAACCCTAGTTAAACGAGTCAGTCCTACCGGGTTTCGGGCTAGCCCTAGCGGGCTTCGGACTAAACGGTCCGGGCCTAAAAAGTCTTGATTTAAACGGGTTACTAATAAAATGACCTAACCTTGTTTTTTTTCGGGCTAAACGGGCCGGCCCGTCGGGCCAAGGACCATTTAACATCTCTACTCCAAGCTAAAGGATGAGAAGTCTTTAAAATATTAAAAATCAAAATCTTCCTAAAATTATATAACTAGTTTTTATATTTTAAAATGTTTCATTACATTGTACCGAAAAAAAAAATGTTTCATTACAGGTTTCACTATTAGTAACTCCTTCAATTCAATCGGTGGTCATGCAACATACACGATAAATGTGTAGCTGAAAAATTACGAGATTTCGATACATGTCAAGTGAACATATCTTAATGACTAATATAAGTAAAAAATCATGAGATTTCAATACATCAAGTGAGTAACGGTGAGTTATTTCATTTTAGTACGAAAAATGATATATATTGTGATCCTCTTTAGCCCTAATAATGTCTCTATATATAATGTCAACATCATTCACAATCCTACATTGTCACCCCTTATACGAATCCATAATCCATAAATCATTAGGATAATTATATAGTTTAGGTAGTCAATATTTCAAAGAAATTGAATAATCCCCATATCTGAAATACCACATAAAATTCTTGAACATTAATTTCCAGAATACTTTTTACTTAATCTTCAACCGACATATGAAATAATTTCTGACGCAAGCAGACCATAAATTATGCACATGATTGAGCCTTCTCAACACGCTGTGCAGCCAAAAATATAGCACACATCAAAATGGAATTTTAGTCCAACATTTTTATGTTTTCCAATCTTTCCTACTTTATAATTTGGTACAATGACTTTTATTTCTTGCTTATTTCATTCAATAATTTTTTAGAGTTTCAATTTTATAGAACTGTATATCATATTTAGGAAGTTGGCTTTATAGTGGGCCAATTGTTCGCTCCATAGAATAATTGTTTTATAGATTTTTTTTTTAATTTTATTTTGTGTAATTTTGACGAATCTTCGGTTTCTTGCAAATAGAAAATTGAATCTTTCGACCCGTTTTATCTAACAGTCTTTTTGGTTTTTGTCATATGATTTTCTCCGATCATCGAAAAAATCGCGGTTGAGAAGCTCCTAGAAACTCTCAAGTAGTCTCTATTATTCGAAGTCTTGTATATGACAATTGAATCTTTTCAAATATTCCATTTCTAAAATAATTATTCCGTAAAGTTTTAAATAGTATCTTAAGCTAAAAGATCGGACATCTAGATCATTTAAAATTCTAACATTGGAGTTTCTGGTTACAAGAAAATATTGAAATTTCAACGGAAATATATTTCAATAGAATTTCAACGACAATTCTAATGAACATTCTAATTATTTCCGTTGAAATTTTTTAATGGATTCCAACGGAAATATTTCACTAGAATGAGTTTTTTATTGAAATTTCCGTTGGACTTTTACGATTCTGACGGTTGAAATATGGGTGTAAATAAAATTTCAATAGGAATTCCTACGATAAAAATCATAGAAAATATAGTCATTGGAATATCAAATTCCATATAAAATTTGAATGGAAAACTCAGTACAATGAAATATTTTTTTTGGAATTATTCCAATGGAAGCTATACCCTGTTGTAATTTCCATTAGAACATATAACCGTAAAATTTTCGTCGGAACATGACAATTTTTTTTAGTGGTGAATTTACTCTCTTCGACTTAGACGTGCAATTGGAAAACAACCCTTCTCTCATTGGATTCTACTAGGTGGCTACTTGGCTATTTCTGGATTCGGCTAGGTGGCTACTTGTTTTTTTTTTGGGCTATTTTTGGGCGTTGTTTGTCTTTTCACTTCAACAAAGCCGCTCAATTTATTTCAATTTTTCTTCTTATTATAATCAACAGGAATTTCACTTTAAAATTTCAGTTGCTTTCTTTTAAACAAAAATTTCAAAAAATAAAAGTTAATGTAACAAATTATACCATCCTAAAAAAATAGGAACAACAAAAATTAGGATTAAATTTGCATTTTTCCTGCCCAAACATATATAATGTAAATATCTTTTGAAGAGCTGATTACATTATATGATATATGGGTTTACTTTGCTGGTGGAATATGTTTCATGAGATTCATATAAAAAATATGTTTCATGAGATTCATATAAAATCATGGGTAAGGCTACAGTCCCGTTACGGAAACCATTCAGTTGAGATTTTTAACCGTTAGATTCACATGTAGATTAGTGTAGCATGTGCACTAAATGGTTAAAAATTCTAACGGAATAGTTATGTAACGGGACTTTAGTCTTTTTCTAAAATCATACAGCACAAATTAAATTCATTAATGCTAACAAGTAGCGCCAAGAGATGACAGACTATTTTTCCTTTTCTTATTAACACAATTATTAATGGCTGACAGATTTTTTCAATTCAGATATATACAACTTATTTCAAATGGAAATTAAATTAATTAGAATTGATTTAACAAGGTCAGAATTGAAACAATAGCTGGTGCATTGATTAATTTCAATTATA